CAAAATACGTCCATATTAGGATACTGTTAGATTTAAGTCATGAATAAGAATCTGCCTTCCAAAAAAATGTGCTAAAACATTTAGTATAGGTCAAATGGCGAACAAAGGCAATAATTAGATTTTCCATTGTAATGTGATTAGCGTTATGAAATAATGTTCCGCCGTACGCTTTTAACGCGTTATTTTTAATTTTCATACAATGTTGCTCCTCCTAAAGATAGAACCGGCTAAGTAAACTTTAAAACTCTGCTGAGAGAGGATTAAAGTTTTCAGGTTTATTAATTTATCCCTGATTTTTGCAGCAGTTTCAGTGTAGCAGATTCAAAATTTAATAACTACGCATTAAGGCTTTTAACGAAAGAACACAATCAGAGTTCCTTTATATTTCATTTCACTTAATTAAAAAATCTTTACCATGACAAAGTTAAATGTTATAAAGGGAAATTGCAAATCCCTTTATCTTGAAACGCTCATAAAAAGAGACTCGTGTACATTCGAATTGTCCGCATTAAATTATGCCGTATACTTTTTTGTCGAAAAATTCAGACCATAGCACATCGATTGCCAAAATAAGCTTTGATCCCATTGATGTATTCGTCCGAACATAAATTTGTGGGAACAACAAAGCTCTTGAACGAGTAATCCCTAATTTAAATAATATCCCCAACTATACAGTGTACACTCCTGTTTTACTCCATCGCCCATACAAACAGAAATAATTACACCCTCTGTTATTTTAATCGAATAAAACCCCGTTCTCTTGATTTATTCAGCTATTGCTGTCACTCCTTTTCACTGATGAATTCTGCTCAGCCTATTTGGGTGACAATACTTTGAATCACGCGACCGTTTTAGAAGGTAATAGGGTGTAAGAATTTTTTATCGGGCGATGGACACAATCGGATAACGATCACACCTCTAACTTCTCGACAGTTTACCGATACCACCATAAAGGATTGTTCAAGGTTTGCTATAGCACGCCTACTTATCGTAATAAACGCTCATGAAAGGATTGCAAGGACTACATTTCAGGAAACCCACAACTCACGATCGCCTACTGAAATAGCAAACCGACAAACGATAATTACTTTATTCACTCCAATATTGAATCTTAAAATAACTTTACGGGTTATACAGCTGAATAAAGAGTTACACTTGAAATGTCCATACTTTAATTTAATAACATGTAAAATGTAAGTTTTGCATCTTTAGTAACAAAAATTGAGGTTAAATATATAAACAAAACAACGCTTAAATAAAGATGTAAAATAAATGTCACTAGAAATCTAACTTACGAGCGAATAAATAACACCATGTCCAATTATAATTTAAATAACTCGTCCGATGTGTATTAAATGCCGCAAGTGGCATTAATTTACAATTTTTTATGGTTTGACCATCATCTCATTAATTAATGATCACATTAAACACATTTTATTTGAAAAAATGATCACTTATAGTGGTTTTTATTATATTTTTGATCCCACAAGCTTTGGATTTAGCGTTGAAAGTTTGGCGGCTTTTCTTGATCTCAATATAAAGACTCTTGCCAGTTGCCACCATCTTAAATTTGTATTTGCTTTTAAAATCCCCAAATAGTAGGCATGTCGGTTTTTTTGCTTATTTTTGTAAACCATTAACAAGCCTTTGAGAAAAATTATTTTTATTTATACGTTTTGACTTTAATTGAATTGAGATGACGATACCGACTCGGATGTCAAATAAGATTTAACCTGCGTCAAAATGTTATTTGGTACCGGTACTTCGATTGCAAATAAGTGGTTGACAATCTATTGAGGAAATTGCAAACTCACTGTAGAAAAATGTTAATAATGCCTCCGACTAGCCATTACAGTTACCTATTAAACGTTACCTCTTTTAACTTAACATAAGTAATATTTGTTTCGTTGAATGTTCCTGAAACCTTTTACTCTTGTCCTTAGAAATTTTCCTTCTGCACACTTCAACGGAAAAAATTGCATCTACAGTACCCCCTTCTGTTTTTTAAACCAAGAGATAAGATTTTAAAAACAATAAAAGGAACGGGAGCTCTAAATAAATTCTAAAAAATTCTAAATCCCAAACGAAAACAAATTTTCTTCTTCCTTAGATCTAACTTGTTTAATTTCTTGAATTTTGATTTAATTTGCTATTAGTTCTTGTTTATTTTCTTCAAATGTTTTTGTTTCTTCAAATACTTTTTTAACGTAATAACATTAAATTTGTTTGCTCCTTCCTTCTTTGAACCTTACTAGCACTTGAAATTTTAGTGGATTGATCTCTAAACAGTGTCCCCTGGAAGAATTAAATACGTTATCCAGATCACAGTCCAATTGACTGCATGCTTCAATCCCTTTAGACAGTGGAAATGATAGATATAATCGAGTCTCACCCATATAACCATAAGCAAAATTGTATAACCGATCAAGAATTTGTAATACCTAATTTTTATTCTAATCCATCTAATATTTTTATATATTTGCATTAATTTTGACCTGTTGACAGCGATGTTTAATATATTCTTGAAAAAATTTAAAAGCTACTCCATCTAACCCCATAAATCCAATAATTGAATCGGTAGGTCATGATGGGTTAAAGTGTCGAATGCTATTGAATAGTCAATTAAGCCAGTTAACGTGAGATTGTCTTTATCACAGCATCTTGCAATAACTTCTGCGATTTTTATTAACGCTGTTTCAGTGCTGTAAAGTTTTTAGAAACCTGACTATGTGAGTATGTTGGTATTTTCTATGTAGGACTATTTTTTCAATTTTTTTTTGAGCACACCGATATCATGTTCATGGGACTTAAGTATTTAAAGACCACAAGGTTAGCTACTTTCGATGCAGGTTTGACCAACGGCTTATATTATAAAAAAGGGGAAAATTATAGAATCTGAATCAAGAATTAATAACTAATTAAATCGCATTAATCTCACGTAGGTACTTGTTAAAAACTAAATATGCATTGCTGTGTTCTCTTAAGATTGATATAAAAAATCAGAATGTATCATGATTAGAATAGCAGGCTAGCGGCGTAGCATTTACTGAAATGTATAATTTTATAATTATATGCGAGTCATTTGTAACTACAGCTAATGGAATGAATAATAAAGTTACTATACATCTTCTCACAAAATAAACAGTACAAGTTTCAATTTGCATAATTATGCGACTGCACAAATAAATATATTTAAAATGAAACAAACAAAAAGGATACTTGTTCCTCTTAGTATACTTGCTTAGGACCTATTTCACGATTACCTCAATTAAAGTAGAATACCCCATCTTGGTTTGGTCTTAACGCTGATTGTTTTGGGTAAATTTTGTCTATTTTTTAGAACAATTCTACGACCCTTGTAACAACATTTTTCCAAATAATTGCATTTGACCTTCATAAATGTGATACCGGTCTATTGAACTATATTCGCGTATAAATAACCTGCGTGTGTTGGTGTGAAAACACGGAAACTGTGTTGTTAAATATGTTTAATGAAAGAGGTATAAACATAGATAGTGATCTATGCACCTAAAGCCCATTGTCATTTTAAGGCGGAAATGAGTAAAAACTGGATTAATAGTTTCGCTGATTCAGCAATAGCGAAAAGAACAAAACAGTCACATCAATTTTGTACAAAGTTTTATTCAAAGAAACAAATTCACTAATACTAAGCAACCAACTAAATCAAATTACGCAAATGAAGAAACCAACCAACAAATCGTAGCTGAAGTTTTGGAAGGGGTCAAACGACAGTCAAATTAAGATAGTACTTGGAGGATCAGTTAGCTATAGGAGACCAGGAGAAGAGCAAATAACAGATGGAAATTGGAATTGAAGAATCAAAATCTGAAGAGACCATGGAAAATGCAGAAGAAAATTTAAGCAGAACAAAATTGAAGAAAATGAAGAAGAAGCTATAGAAAGCCAATCGATGCCTAAAAGAAGTGTAGAGGGGGTGGAGAAGCAACCTGAAGGAAACAATATGTCATTATTGGGCATTATCAGACATTAGATGAAAAAGTCAAAGAGAAGCTTAGAGCCGCGTAAGGAAAAGAATTAGCACCAAACCGAGGAACAATGGAAGATGGTAATGAAGAAGAAATATTGAAGAAGAAAGATAGAAACCATGGAAAAAGAACCAGTTAAGGGTATGATGAGAAGAACCCAAGAAGGAAAGATACAGATCAAAAGAGCAAACAAATACTTCTGCAAACCTACAGTTGGCGACACAAATTTTACCCGACCAGGACCTTTGAGTCCTTTTCTCTTGAATTAAAGAATTTTATTTCCCAGGATATTTTTTTTGTACATAATTTTGAAAATTGAAGCTAAACGAGGGTTAGCGCCTAACTATAAAAAAAAGTATAATAAAATGTTTTATTATTAAATGTGAATATTGGTTCATTTGTAGGCACCATAGTGATGCAGAGATAATCAATTATTTCGAATTCGTTTGATACACTATTTATTGATCGAATATAAGTGGTCTATTATTAAATTAAGTACACATTCATACAGACTGCAGGTATGACAAACACTTCTCCTCGATTCCAAAGACACCTAAGCTTGCGTATGAAACTGCAATAAAAGATAAGAATCCATTTCTTCTTATTTGAAACAAAAGACGCACTTTATCTTAATCGTCCCTGACTTTATCTTAATTTAACTAATGAATACATTATGAAATTATTTATACGTAGAAATAGTGAACTTCACGTTACCTTGCAGTACCGAACCTTAAAACAAACCCAACAATCATAACTTCCTTGTATGGGTACGATAAGCAATATAAACCAGAAAATCAGTTCCGCTTACGGCCGAAATAAACCCCTAGAATAATTATTTAATCACCGATACAATCGTTTATCTACCCTTTCTCCATGTTTATTTTTCGATAGTCATCAAAAACTTGAGCATCTCAACAAATTCAAAACGTCTCCTGTGTTACAATCCAAATTTATTTAACGCTATCAAAATACTAATTAAACCTTTTTTTACAGATTACCAGCCGAAACGCACGGAGCAATATTTTTGAGGTGAGTTAAAGCTCTATGATTACTCTTACATAATCCCGAATTTTGTTAGTGACAGTCGAAACGCACATTTAATTCTGTAATGAAGCAACGTTCTTATTAAATTAATTATATGTTACTGATAACATCTGCCTACAATTACGGTTCATTTCATCTCACAGTTCGTGATCAATTTTAATACGTGAACAATACGGAGAAAGTTTTATACGAGTCCAGGAAATCACCCCCTTCAAAACTTTAATTTTATCTCTTAATTATATCCTTAACAAAACTTCAAGTATTCGCAGCGCTTTCCAATTAAATCGCGTATTATGTGCACCAATAAAGTGTTGCACTTTTATTGGAAACTGAACAGTAATGAAACAAGTCTGATTTGAGGGTTGACTCTACGCTTATTAAAATTTGCTGCGGTGTAGTTCAAGACGTTCATTATATGGAAATAATGCTCTTCATCATTAGTGGTTGGAAATAATTATTTCTTAAGAAATATGTGTCTCAATAACTATACGGTGATGAAGAATTACAGCTCGAAATGTAACGAGTGATTAAAGAAGGGTATTCAATTATTTGCAGCGAGGCTCAGTATTAATTTAGTAGGTAGTGTTGCAAGCATTAACAAAGTTAGAACTTTAAACTTCGTTCCAATTTAATTTCCTTCCTCTTTCATATTAGTTCACTGCAGGGTTGATTGTCGTCGTAGGATTTGTGCATTATTACCAGTTCAAAAACTTCGTTGATCGATAACACAGCAAAATAATATATTACGTTATATCCTAGATGAATTGTTTTCGTGTTGAGTCATATACATAGCTAAATTACACTTATACGAAGGCAGGTTATAACAGAAATTGAGTCTATTCAGAAATTAATTAACAGAGTCCTAAAGGCATCCATTTGGATGCAGACAAAGACCTGAAGAGTTAGTTTCAATGTTCTTTGTATTAAAGTTGGCTACTATTCAGATTTTACTAATAAAGGATTTATATATAGTATAGATATTTGTTTAGATTTTGCCAAAGGAACTACAAAAGGACTCTGACATTGAAAGACCCTATGCGCGAAGCCTTCACTTTAAAATTATTTCCCTCGTTCAGTTTAATGAATACGTCGCCAGCAGTATCTTATTTGATCCCTATACCCATAGAAATGTCAAGACGTAAAACTTGCAGGTTTGAAGCAAATTTTGAGAAAGTTTCAGACTTGATCCCTTCCTACCTAAAACGCATTATAAGTTTTTTTTCTTTTATTAAGAATAAAGCAAAAGGGGAAAATGTCAGAAATTTTTTGTAATTGTTAATTTTATGTTTAATTTTGTTGTTGTACGTAGTAATAAACTGGAATGGAAAAAAATTATTGCAGGTTTGACTTATAATAAGTTAGAAAGAAGTGCAATAAGCATTATGTGAGTGTGAGAGAGACATAATTTGACCAATGTTGACATTGACAGTAGCAATGAAAAGTGTCATTGATACTACCCTAAGTACTCAAAATGCGCATGAATGGCATCAGCGCTTTCACCTTGTTGTGTATTCTATCTCACTTCACATTCATATAATAATTTTTTTCCATACCTGAGTTTTTTTGTTAACTTAGAAATTAGAACAAATTTAAAACATTTTACGAAACACAAGAAGTAATTGTGCAGTACATGATATCAGATTAATTTTCTATCTTTATTTGTGATTGCTGTAGCGGACTGCGTCCCTTTAATTGGCAAGCCCAGAAACCGTTTTACTACTCTTGGTCTAAAAACGGAAAAAAAAATGTTTTTGCGGGGTTTCCGGAAAATTTGAGGTTATGTGAAAAAGGTGTAGGTACAAAAGTGTAGGTACAAATTTTACAAAATTGCGGGTATACAAAACTTTAAACGTGTACCGCTTCATAATGAAAGAAAACAAAACTAATCTGCGGGAAAATAAGCGCGTTAAGGTAAAAAAGCGAATGCGCAACAGGTAAGGGTAGAAACCCCTCAGTGTTACCGGTTCCAAAACATTCCTAACGGACCATCAGGGACGGCGTTTCTGCTATACCTTCACAATCATTTAAAAAAACAAACCCGAAGCCTGTTTTGCGTTGGGTCCGTTTCGGGTGTAGGATTTGGCAAGTACATAAGTAAAAATTGGGTGGGAGAGAGGCATTCTTAGCCAAACTTCCGGGGCAAAAATATGTAACTTAAGCGCGGCATTTTTAAATCGTGCAATATTAAATTCTTCGACAAACCTTCAAGGCGAAATCACGTGTTTTGTGCGTGCCATTTTTATATCGTATAACAGGGATTTTTGCCAAATTTCAAACTGAAACTATATTAGGTAGCTCAGAGGTGCATTTTGAGATCGCGTAAAGATTAATTTTCATTAAAAGGTTTGAAGCAAACCCTAATTTTTGTTTTACGAAAGATTTGTCAGACGCGTAGTCGTACGTGTTATTTTATTGTGAAAGTGGAAGTTACTGACATTTTAAAGGAAATTGCCATTTTGACAGAATTATTGTCGTCGTAGCGTTATGAATTCATAGAAATAGAAGAACTGAATAATGAAAGCCGAACAGTAAAAAACATTTAACCAAAATCGTCCCGAAACCTTCATTTTTCATGCCTACTTTCTGTCAGGTATATTTAGTTTCCATGACAGAGGCAGAGCAGACTACGTTTCCTGTCGCTTGTCCGCATGTTTGACATTTCCAAATGTCTATAATGACTCCTGTCATCACTGACAGATTGACATTAATCAAAGTTATACGTAAAAATTGAAATGTATTAAAAGACGATTTCGGGTAAAATTTAATACAAAACTCGTCATTAAAATGTTATTACCTGACTCGGAAATTAAAGTACTTGCTCTTCAATATTTCCTCGTCAGCAATGTGACATTTTCCTGACGTTTATGTACATAACTATTTCATGACAGAGGGAGACAAGACTACTTTTCTGTCGCCTGTCACTCTACCGGCGGTAGCTGTCAAATTGCCAAATGTCTATAATGACTCTTGTCATCACTAACAGATTGACGTTAATCAAAGGTTCTATATGAAAACCTGAGTTCGCAATCAAAATACGATTTCCGGTAATATTTAATCCAAACTCATCAGTAAAATGACACTACTGACTCGCAAATTAAAGTAATGTTCCATTTTAGTGACTTTTGTGTAAATAATAATTTTGTAAAAGCATAATGTATAAAATTGCTTTGGAATTTCTAATGTTTAAACATTTGTGTCATTCTCCTTCTACCTACTACTTAAAAGTTTCACAATGATTGATACTTTCAACCCTCTGAATTTTTGAGATACTTATATGAAACACAATAAACCCTCCCTGGAAAGTATGAGATCAAAGGGTTAAAAGAAAAGTGTCAAAAATTGAATAAACTTTCAAGGGTAGTGGTGTACGGGATGACCCCCTGATATTTTTAATGCTATGATCTTAACCATCATTGCTTGGAATGTTTGATTGTGGTAAGTTCCTCATAATTTAGACTACGAGAAATTTAGAGACGATAGGATCTGTAAGTAAATAGCCTTTACATACGGTATTTAGTTTTGCCCGTATAATTCAAATGTACCTACTCTGTCCATAATTTTCAGTTGCATACTTTCATTTGATGTAAAAATAATTATGCACTTGGCATTATGCAGCAGGTAAAGTGCATGGTTTATGTTTGCCCATACAGAAAACTAAATTTCTCAGTTTAATTTTGCTAAGCTTTAAAGTTCAAACATTAATTTAATTAAGGTTCTCCTTTGAATAGTTGGTAAGTGCCGGCCATATATTCAGTTTGGAATTCTATCTACGAGTATGTTTGCTATGCGTATTAAAAGTTACTTTGTGATACTTTAATTTTGTGTTCAGGACAAGTGATCGATTACTTCCATCGGTGGAATATGTTAATGAGCGCTGTTGTAGTATTGAGATTTCCTAATTAATAATTCTAACTTTACGATGAATGGAGCTTGTAACCACGAGAATTTAAATTCACAAACTGAACTTTACAAAAAAAATATTTATAATTGTAAATTATGCTTTTGGAGTAACTGATAAAGAGAAAACTTTTTTCACTTACATAATTAGAACTTCATTTAAAATTCATTTTCGTATTTCCTGATGGTGAAGTAATTGTTTATATATTCATCTTTGCATAACCGTGAGCGTTTATTCAGTTTAAAGTAGAATTAGCACCCGATGACATTATTTAATGCTTATATGTAACCAAGGCAGCACATCCTCAATTAGATCTTGAAAAATTCGTTTTAGCCAACACACGTGCTTGGTTACGTAAACTCTAATAGCGGTGGAAGAGTTAATTTCCTTGTTTAGAGGTGTATTTATCTAGGGATGAATTTGGGTTTTAATATACATTCTAATTTTGCTTTCGTGATTATTCGAAGTTTTCTCATTAGACAAATCATAGACTTTACAAGCATCGTGACTTCTGGGGAATTGAAATAAAAATGTTTGAAAACGATACATGCTGTTTTTATAATGCATCTGACATTTGTGTGACTTCCCCTTTTCATTTAGAGATCTTTGAAAATGAAATCACTGAGTAGATTGAACCACTGAAGGGTATAAATTTAGTTCCTATGCATCAAAGCGATGCGTTTTTCTGTCTACACGACGGGAGGGTGCATTTCCATTGTTAAAAAGAATGCATTACAGAATCCACTATCAAGCAGATGGTCATAGAGAGCAGCCATCAGCAGAATTGAAATAGTTTTACTTTTTGTTCAAGTTCGTCTTTCATTTCATCACATGCTAGGAAATGAATATTGTTCATCACCATATTTTCTCTTTAGCAAGGGATTCTGCGGAGGTCATATTTAAGCAAAGTTCTCTCGAAAAATTTGATTTGACGGCTAGGTATGACATTTTGAGATTCAACAACGAATAATAAAAAAATGTAGTGCAATATCTGTTCAATTTACTTGAAATTGACCATGTAAAGAAATAATTTCTTACTCGTGAATTAAATAAGATCGGCCAACTATTTTATTAAACGAAAAAAACT